GTGTGTTTATATGTTCACGAAAATTTTAAAATCAGGACAATAATGCGCTTGCATACCATTACTTCCGTGGGAATGTCTGTGTTTGTTAAGGCAATCAAAGAAAGATCAAAAGAAAAATGTTGAAGGAAATTCTTTCCCTTCAAAGTCGCCCCAACGCGAATTGTAAACTGAAGATTCGGTACTTTCGTTTCTCTCTTTAACTCTAGTTTTCTCTCGCCATTTTTTTCCTCGCATTTAATTTCTTTTACACCACCTTAACCGTTTTCTCTTTTATTGATCATTTTAAATAACAGGTCACAGTTGTATTTAGTAGAATGGTTTTTCAGAATAATTTTCGAACGGACGAGTTTTCGCCGTTGCCTCTTCACCTTACATTCTTCTTCTCTGTTTCTTTCTTTCTTCTGCAAGTATTACATTCTTAGATATATCTGAGTTTATTCATCTCTGTAGATATTTATTTAAGTCTATGAATATCTACCTCAAATTGTTCATATCTATCTGTCTGTGGAGTTTAACGGAAATTAAAAACGGTATGTCACGCTTATTTCCTTCACATTATAGACATTATGTAGGTTCCTGCTCCCTTTTCTTCTTGCATTGGTCAAGAGGTTCGGCTCTTTTCTCATCGGTTTATCGTTGTAAATAAACGCATGTATTAACATTTCCCAATATGAATCTCTCACAACCAGGACACATTTCATCGTCCTAAAGAAGACTCACACAATTGTACGTTTCAGGTACAGCCAGTTAATATATCAACTGCACATGCAGAGTCCCCCCCCCCACATGTTATTTGGTTATCATAAAGTGTTTTCTATGTATGTCACACTAAATGGTTCAGTCTTAGTGGATGTATCCAGTTTAGCATGATTTCTCTCCAAATTTGCTTTTTACGACTACTGGGATTAATGGGAGCGACCAACAATAACATCACTCGTTACTTTTAGACATTATGACCATGTGTTTTTGTTTATATGTAGTTTAGGGGATTTAGGTTTCAAACTTTTCATCTCTCTCACTTTCTCTCTCTATTCATACACAGAAGCTTTTTAATACTGATAATGCGTTTGTAGGTATAGACAAAATGGTCATAAGATCAACACTGAAGCTCCCATTGAGGTATGAAATCAGTATTGTATGGTAATTAGCAAGTTTCATCTCCAGATCCTATATGACCATCACTCTTTCGCCGCTCTCTGATTCTCTCTCTCCATATATATATATATATATATATATATATATATATGGGAACTGAATCCGTTATTCAACCTACAGTGTGTGTGGGGGGTAGATTGTTCTCGTTCCACTGTTCATGTATAAAGACATCTTCACTAGTTCTTACTTAATACTCCCAGGTTCCCTTTCGTACCGTTTCCACTGAGTTCAAATACATAGTGCCTGGCCCAGGGATTGATCTCACAATTATTAGGTCACCTAATTCACAAGCCAGCGCTTTAAACTATGAGGCTATTGCCGCATGTAACAATTCTGCGCATAGGAATAAATCCGATGCCAATAAAGAAAGTAAGACAAATGACGGCAGCTTTTCAACAGCAAGAGCAACATCTGTAACAAGAGAGAAACTTCCGTCAGTGCAGTCAAGCATGGCAAGAAACAGCAGCAATTTTCAGAAGGAAGGTTAGGTTTAAGGCTCCAAGTTCTCAAACAGAATTGTACTCCAGGACAATAACCTAGAGTTTTGAATTGTTAGTTCCTTAGTTACTCGAATCGATATAGTTCTGAAGAAGGCCGTAAGGCATAACGACCGAAACGTTGTGATAACGGCAGTAAAGATTAGAAGAATAGTCCGAATGTAAATATTATAAATATAATTGATCTCTTTTTTCTTTCCATTCAATCAGGTTTTTGTTTCTCTTTTACAACCCTTTGCCTTTCTTTCTCTCCATGCTCTTTCGCTTTCGTTTCTGATTTCCATCACCTTCTCTATCTTTCTCTTCATCTTCTCTCGCTTTCGTTTCTCATTCCCATCTCCTCTTTCTTTCTTTCTTTCTTTCTTTCCATCCTCTCTCTCTTTTGTTTCTCATTCCCATCACCTTCTCTTTCTTTCTCTTTATCCTCTCTCTCGCTTTTGTTTCTCATTCCCATCACCTTCTCTTTCTTTCTCTCTATCCTCTCTCTCATTGTTTCTCATTTCTATCACCTTCTCTTTCTTTCTCTTTATCCTCTCTCTCGCTTTTGTTTCTCATTCCCATCACCTTCTCTCTCTTTCTCTCTATCCTCTCTCTCATTGTTTCTCATTTCTATCACCTTCTCTTTCTTTCTCTATATCCTCTCTCTCTTTCGTTTCTCATTTCCATCACCTTCTCTTTCTTTCTCTATATCCTCTCTCTCTTTCGTTTCTCATTTCCATCACATTCTCTTTCTTTCTCTCTATCGCCTCTCTCCTTCGTTTCTGATTTCCTCTTTCCTTCACGCTATCCTCTCTGGTTTTCGCTTCTTATTCCCATCTCCTCTCTTTCTTTCACTCCATCCTCTCTAATTTCTTTTCTTATTTCCATCTCCTTCTCTCTCTTTCTCTCCATCTTTTCTCGCTTTTGTTTTGTCGTGTCCATCCCTTGTCTTTCTTTCTTTCTCTGCATCTTTTCTCGCTATCATTTCTCATTTCCATCACATTCTCTTCCTTTCTTTCTTTCTTTCTCTCCATCCTCTCTCTCTTTCGTTTCTCATTCCCATCACCTTCTCTTTCTTTCTCTCTATCCTCTCTCTTTTGTTTCTCATTTCCATCACCTTCTCTTTCTTTTTCTCTATCCTCTCTCTCTTTTGTTTCTCATTCCCATCACCTTCTCTTTCTTTCTCTTCATCCTCTCTCTCTTTCGTTTCTCATTCCCATCACCTTCTCTTTCTTTCTCTTCATCCCCTCTCTCTTTCGTTTCTCATTCCCATCACCTTCTCTTTCTTTCTCTCTATCCTCTCTCTCTTTTGTTTCTCATTCCCATCACCTTCTCTTTCTTTCTCTCTATCCTCTCTCTCTTTCGTTTCTCATTTCCATCACCTTCTCTTTCTTTCTCTCTATCCTCTCTCTCTTTCGTTTCTCATTCCCATCACCTTCTCTTTCTTTCTCTTCATCCTCTCTCTCTTTCGTTTCTCATTCCCATCACCTTCTCTTTCTTTCTCTCTATCCTCTCTCTTTCGTTTCTCATTTCCATCACCTTCTCTTTCTTTCAATCCATCCTCTCTCTCTTTCATTTCTCATTCCCATCACCTTCTTTTTCTTTTCTTCCCTCTTCTCTCTCTCCCAGTTTCTCTTTCACTCTCTCGTTCCATTTTTTTACATTTCGTCTACGACCGCTTTCTTTTTTTTACTATTTATTTTTCTCTCTCCCTTTCTCTGTCTTTCTTAGTTCCTTATTCACCTCTTCCCCCCTCTCTCTCTCTCTCTCTCTCTCTCACTCTTTCATCCTTTTCTTCTATTATCTATAATGTTTCAATATATATATATATATATATATATATATATATATATATATATATATATTGTGTGTGTATCTGGCAGAGAGAGTGTGGATGTTTGCTTGTGTGTATCTGTGTATAAGTGCGTGTTTCTCTTTCTTTCTGTATGTGTATAATGCGTGTTTCTCTCGCCATCTCCCGCTTTCTCTCTCTGTCTCTCTGTATGTGTGTGTGTTTGGGTGTGTGTAAGTGTCTGTTTCCCTCTCTTTCTCCCTCTGTGTGTGTGTGTGTGTGTGTAAGGTATATATAAGATCAGTCTAGGATGTTTCTTGCTAATTTGAAAACTCGAATACTATTATCTTGACTTTGATGTAATTTGACAATCAATCAAAAAAGACCATACTTTACATCCATAGAAAGAAGGAATCCCATGGGGTTACTCAGTCGACAGCGAGGCACCACTGTGGGAGTTTCTGTACTGTGTATTCGTTGCATTCTCAGTTATCGATTCTGCAAATTTTTTTCACGCTTCAGGCGATTGCTTTTCTTTTGAAAAATATTGGAACATTTTTTTTCTGGACATGAAAATAAAGAGAATCATAGAGAGAATTTAGTTGATGTCGTCATTAGTGCCAAACTTTATTACATAAGTAGGCCAAGAAGAAAATAATGGGGATTCCTCAGAGCCTAAATAGCATCTCTGAAGTAATCAGATATTAATTATAGGCGTGCGGAGAGGAGAAAATGAAGACAGGGCGCAAAATGTCAAAACGGGGGACGTTAACGAATTAACGTCATTTTGTGCCGAACGTGTTAGATATCCCACTGATAGCAATGAGGCAAACACTTCATATAAAGGCAAATATCAGAACTCACCTTTTCTTTGTATGAAAGTTATGAATTCCTTTAGATTATTTCGGTTACAAAGTATCAAGTGCGTGAACCAAATATGGGTGCAGAGTGAGCTGGTCATTTTCTGACTGACTGGCCACACTTAAATGAATCAGGCATCAACATAAGACTTTTGTTTTCAGCTAGATTATATAACAATTATTAATAACAATTTTACAAAGTATTAAGATATGGGGAAACCTTGTCAGAAACATAGACATGTGTAATGAACTGCTATGTAATATCTAATCACCCACGTGACTGTGAATGCTGGACATTTTCCTCACTTATAAAGAGAGGTGAAGCAACAGCTGTAGCTGCAATAATGAATGCTGAGAATGTGATGTGTGTTTAACAAGGAATTTCTAAGGTGAATAGGAACTTCCAAAAGTTGTTGTGAATAATCAGAAAGAGATAGCTGTAATTTCTGGGACATCTAATGAGGAAAGAAGCCTTGGTGAATTTAACATTCATAAGGAATATCGAAGGCAAAAGATGCAGGAGGGAATGACGACTAACTTACTTGCCAAATCTGGGTGACAGTATGCCAGAACAAAGAATCTGGGTGACAGTATGCCAGAACAAAGAATCTGGGTGACAGTATGCCAGAACAAAGAATAAAAGACAAAAAGGGATGGGCTTAGAGATACTGAAATCAACAAAAGACAGGAAGTTGTAGAGAACTGTGATCAACCCCTAAATATGTTTGTTATATGAAGAATAGCTGGAAATAGTTTCAGAAAAAAATTGAAACTTTCAAATATTTGGATGGACACAGTCCAACATTACGCACAAACATTTTCAGTCGTCTATTAAAACAGTGTTCGAACAGATGACGGAAAGTGCGACGTATTGGGATGGCCAAAGATGCGTTCTAAAAGCTAAGCAGAGTATTAAAAAACAGAAAAATTTCGTTAGAAACAAAGGGAAAAGTACTGAACGGTTATGTGATATCTGTCCTCATGCATAGCAGCCAATGCTGGACAATCTCCTCAAAGATGAAGAAGAGTCTTGAAGCAACAGAAATTCCTTCGAAACAAGGAAAAGATAGCTGAACTGCTATCGAATATCTATCCTCCTCTCTGGTGGTGGCTCAAAATTAATCTTAGGCTTGACCTTAGCTCCCCCCACCCAACAGTAAATTTCCTTCATCAGAGGAATGGGGTCATTCCAGGACGCCTAAGTTCTTTTTTTAGCACGTCTGACCGAAATATCAGTTTATACATCAGCCTTGTGTCATATTCTGTACAAGGGTATACAGATAAATACTCATATGGCAGCGAATGTTGGACAGTTTTCTCTCAGATGAAAAGAAGACTTGAGGCAAATGAGATGTCGTTCTACAGAAGGATACTTAGGATACCATGGATGGAACACATAAGCATTGTGAAGTTTTAAGGAAAATGTAAACAAAGAACAACTATATATAAAATCAAAAAAAAAATTGAAATTTCTTGGACATATAATGAGAAAAGAAGGCACATGAAATATCGAAGGCCTGATGGCTAAGGGACATCAGCGAAGAATTTACCTAACGAGTTTGTGTAAGTGAATGGCAGAACATAGAGCGAGACGGATAGTAAAAAAGACAAAGATTACTAAAAGCTATGAAATATAGGAAGTTGTGGAGAGTCATGACTGCCAAAGGCCTGAAGGTACGCAGTATATAGAAGAAAAAGAATTTTCAGGTGACATTGAATTTTACCTGCCATTATCTCTCATCTGTTTACACCTATATAGTAACTCATCACCAGTTTTTCATTCTTATTTTAATTCTATTGACTGACAGTGCGGTCTTAGAAACCCAACTGTTATACCTGACGTACCTATTCTATTATTAATAGACTCTCCCACACATAATAAGTAGTAGTAGTAGTAGCGGTCGCCAGTCCGGCTCAGTGGTGTTGAGCGAGTCAGTCGATATCAGACATTGAAGTACCAACCATCACAACTAGATTGCTGCGTCATTAACTCTTATTTCCAAGTTCCTAACGTTTTGTACGTCGAACCTAATTTAGGACGACTTATTGAAATACAAGCCTCCACTGTGAAAACTACTCTACAACACCAACTGTGTTGACAAGGTTGCTTTTCACTTCTGACACTTTCATTAAGCTTCGCTTTAATTTTCATTTTTGTCATTGTAGCAATTATTCAGTATCTGTCTATATTTCTGAAATGAGGTATTATGTACATTATTTACATTATTCGTAAACTTAAGGAATATGATAGGCCACTCCTGAGCCGACCAAACCTAGAAATGAATACAATATGGGAACCAGTAATAAGGGGTGCCAGAGAAAAGCGATAATAACAACAAAAATTGCAATATGAGCTCTAGTAAAAAAGAAACCTGCCATGATAACAGCAAAAATTGCAATATGAGCACTGGTAAAAAGTGATTGCTGAAGATATTAGGTTTATAATACCCAGAAATTCATGCACAGATGTCCTCAATGGCACATGGCACAGTGGGTAAAGGCGTTAATTAGATCCCGTGACCGGACCCAAAGAGTGTGAGTTCAATAAATGGTTAAGGCGGTGGAGGACTTGGAGAGGCGAGATAACTGATATCCATTAGACATGGCACGTGGAACTAGATTAGTCTACCCCAGTGAGCGAAATAGAAATTCCAACCACCTGAAGAAAGGTTGTGATAAACATGGCGACAAAGATGAGTTCAATAGTCCGAATAATGTAAATAGTGTAGCAATTCTTATCCACGTTCTTCTCTGATTTCTCTCTCTATTTACGTCACTTTTTACATCTCTGTTCTATCAATTTTATAACTATTTTTTTCTCTTTCTCCTCTCTTAAAACCGACCATGTTATTTCTCTAAAACTTTATCTTTCTAATTCACTAGTTTATGGCACTATCTTATCTTTTATCTTAAGAGAACAGCTTCTTAAAAAAATGGTTAAAACCAGCCTCGTTTTAGCAAGGCGTTCTGTCTCGTTTTGATATCTCTCCCGCTTAAAATGTCTTCTTGTCTATTCATGACAGTTTAATACAGTCGCAGTGTCAACTGCATTGAAATTAAAAAAAAGAACAAAACAAAAAAGACAACAAAAAAAAGAAAAAAAAAACGGTACGGTATGCAGCCAGAAGCCATCGTCAATAAGCTCATTTGTGACTCTCTCTCTCTCTCTCTTTTCAATGTGTGAAAGGAGATAAGATTAAAAGAGAGGGAGAGTTCT